CAAGGTTGGCACGGATGTGCAATATATTAAACTACAGTTATTTAGGTAACCTTTCTCCTCCTTAACCTTCCTCTCTTTTTGAGCACCTTGTAGCTACCTGTGGCCAATCTGGGGTCTGCCATGTGGATTGCAGAACTCTGAGATGTGGCAAGCTCTCAGAAACACAAAGTGTAGGCACTGTGTGGAAATTAACCCGATTACCAAGCTCAGATGATTTAGAAATGTTAGCTTTTTATGCCCTTAAAAAAAAAAAAAAAAGATAAAAAATCCTTTAAGAACAACCAGATCCTTTTGGAGTATGACAAACAAAAAATTTAGCATTAATTAATCCCATGAAAATTTCCCTTTGGCAATGCCTTCCTAGAAGTAAAACAGTCCCCTAAAACCGCATTAAAGAAGGAAAAGGTTCTTAGATGGCCACTGAGATAATATGGGAAAATTCTTTTTGCAGGCATTTGCAGCCAAAGCCCCTCAGAGGAGCTCCTTGCTGCTTTGCTAGCTGGACACTTCCAGTGTGGAAGGGGAAAAAATCTGGTTTTGCCACGCCAGCCCCAGGCACCCCGAGCCTACACCCACAGTAAAGCTGGGCCCATTCCTAGGCTGGGTGTAAGATGTTCCCAGCTGGCACTGCCCTGCTGGGGGCTGTGATTCACTCTCTGCCTTCTGTAGGGATGAACACACCTGAAAGGGGGAAGAGAGCCCCGTGCACCTCTCAGGGATGAATGGGACATGGAGCTGAAGTGGAAGAGATGATAGAAAACTGCTCAGAAATCAAGTGGAGTTCTGTATTTTATGGAATTGATTTGTGAAATTACCCCTAGATTTTATTTTTTGTTCAAAAATGGGCTCCTTCATGACAAGAAAATTATCTGTTTGAAGTTTAAATTACTTGGAGATTAAATTAAAAATTAAATTTCTGGATTTTAAAGTTTAATTTTAATTAAGTGCTGCAGCTCTTTGGAATGTAAAGAAACTGAAACTCTCTGAAGAGAAATGGCAGACACATATTTGAAATTTGATGACAATTTTTTCCTTAATTTTATCCAATTATATTAAGAGGTCTTTGAGTTACAAAGCACTAAAAAGCACTACTGAGGCCAGAGACATGCTAGTGAAATATTGTTTCTGTCATGTAGAGCTCTGTACAGAATTGTGTGGGCTTAAATAAATGTATCTTGATAGTTTACCTTAAAACTCTCTGTCCTTTTCCTCAGTTCAGCTGAATCCTATGAAATAGATACGCAGCTTGAAGAAGTTCTTCACACCCCCACAAACGCTAAAAATGGCCCTGATACAACATGTATTTATGTAACAAAATCATCTGCATTAATATCTTCCTTTCCTTTCTGCAAGAAGCACAGGAGGGACCCAGGCTGACACATTTTCCTGCAGCCCCTTCCAGTCTCCTTGCAATTGGGGCAGCAGGGCTGAGCTGTGTTTTCCCTTAAAAAAAGGCCACTGAATAAACAGGAATTTGATGTGGCTATGAATAGGGTCAGCTGCAAACCTGCAGCCCAAGCTCTTGGGTTCTCTCCCCTTGAATATTCAGTATCCTGTTATGGATCAAAACTATGTGATAGCAAGAGTCCTGGTCACTGTTGTTATCCTGATCTTTCAAAATAAAGAGGGTATTAAATCTATTTCTTCCACTTTTCTGAAAAGACAAGAGACTTGCTGATGGGATCAAGTGTGATGTATTGAGCTGTTAACAACTTCTTCATATCTGACAGAATGAAGAGAAAAATGGCCCCACCTGGCAGCTGTTTTCTGCCCCCATTTGTCACCATCATGGGCAGGTGGCTGTCTGCTCTCTAGATGACAGGGAAGCCCCAGCACTTGGGCAGGTGTGCAGCTTGAGCAGAGGGCTCAGGTGCTGTGGAAACAAAGCAAGGGGCTCTGTGTTGGGCTCCCAGGGCTGGCTGCTGGCCTGGGATAAAGGGAAGGAAGACTGCATTGTAGCTACTGCTGCTGCCAATAGGGTCAGAGAAAGTCTTGGTAACCCTGCCATGTTTAGCATCACCAAAATACCTGGGAAAATCAACAGCCAGCAAGCCTCCTCATTTTTCATATGGACACTTCTGCCCTGGCTCTGCTGTTCCTGCCTGGATACTGAGTGCTGGAAGTGTCAAAGCCCTTCTACACGCCACAGCTCAGCAGGATGGCTCCCAGCTGCAAGCTGACTCCTTGGAGAGGAGTGTTACTCCCACAGGGCTGTCCTGAAGAATGACCAGAATGACCTCCTAAGTCTGCTAAACCAACACTCACTGCCCCAACCTGCTGCCTGTTGTGGAAATAAATCCTGAGCTGCAGTGAAAATCAAACCAATGTTCTCAGCAGCAGCTGTAAACTCGCTAAGCTCTCTGTCCTCCTTTCTCTCCCCCTGCCCCGTCCCTCGCTTTGGAGTTACAATGAAGGCAGAGACATGCTGAGAGAAGCAGTGCAGTGCTCTGTTTGCAGGATAATATGCAGACCACATGTATGTATTAAAGACTGTATGGAGTTATAATTGAGCCAGGAGCATTTAAATGCAAGCCAAGGGGAATTTGCTATTCTGTGTGGGCAGATTTCAATTGTAAGGTTGGCAGCTCTGGTATCCTGTTCTCTAATACCATGAGATGAGAAAAAACAGGCTTTTCTTTCAGAGCAGTTGATTATTGAATCCGCACCAGCTGTTCACCCTAATCCGAGCTTTCTGTGCTCATTCCTTGTAATAGGAAGGCATCCCTCATCCGTCCATCCATCGTCCATCTCCCCATTCTCTTTTTCATGGGGCTTTTGTAATCTTTCAGAAAGGTGGTTAGCAGGCACCAGCCACCTAAAGCAACATAAGCATCAGTGCAGGCAAGGGTTATAGTTAATTAACAAGAGAAGAAAGACTCCCCCCCCCCCCCCGCTATATATTGAAACTCAAATTATATTTCACATCCATTGCAAGATGGAAAAAAAGCCATCATGAATCAGAAGGCAGAGAACCATTTTTTAACAGTGACACCTGACTCTGTGCCCAGCAAACCGTGTGGGATCAGAGCTGGAGCGAGTCCTGAGCTGGCGCAGCGTGGCATCTGTCCCTGCTGCCCCACTGCCAGCCCAGGGACTGGCACCCAGGCATGTGGCAGCAGTTAAGGAAATATAATTTTTTTTTTTCTTTCCTTTTTTTCTTTTTCATAATAAAGGGGGAGGAAGGGGTGAGATAAGTGAGTTCCTTCTGGGTGCTTCTCACTCAGCCTGCAATGTTATGTAAGGCTGGTACAGCTAATGCCTGCTCGGCTTCACCATCAGCCTGGCTGCTTCATCCCCACTACACAATTATTTCATCAGTCTCTCCTACTAGACATCACAGTGCTATTGCGATTAGTCACATTTATTAGGAGAGCAGCTAAAATAAAATTAGCAAGCACAGGGGCCCAGATGCTCAAGGGACTGGGTGAACACAGCTCCAAGTAGTCCCTGCCCCAGAAAGATTCTAATCCCCTGGAGGGGGACGGCTAGGGACAAGGGGGTGACACATAGGACCCAAAAGAGGGCTGTGAAAGCAGCAGGAGGAATGCTGTTGCCATGAAGAGCTTTGGCAGGGGAGGGTGAATCTAAGTCAGAATGAGTCAACTGGGAATAAAAGGCAGCAGAAGAAAGGACATTGTAGGGGAAAGTAGGGTGGAGGAGAAAGTAATACAGTAAGTGACAAGCTGAAGAACAGAGGTTGATGGTGGAGAAAAAAGACAAGTTTAAGCAAAAAGGCAACCAGCACAGCAAATCCTCCCTGTCTGCCTGTCCCCTGCCCATTTTTGCTGCTGCTGCTACACGTTTTTGCCCTCAGTCCAGTTTCTTCACAGTATTTCTCTGTCTGAAGGGTGCCTCCTTCCCTGCTCACCCTGTCTTCCTGGGCTCAGAGGATTACCCCACACTCTGTGCATGGGCAGCCTGTAGCATCCTCTCTGGAAGTCTTGGCTGAATCACAGAGACTGTGTGTAATGCCAGAACCATGCAAACTGAAAAGCTGCATTAGCACTACAGATTGTATGTACAGATTTGGAAAACAGAGATATGGAATGTTCTGGGGCATGGTGAAGAAAATGGACTGGATGACCTGAGAGAGGACAGACAGACAGGCATGTACAATTGCATTTCTGTGTGTTATGGGCATATGGATGGAAAAATGAGCCCTTGAACTGACTACTGGACTTACAGGAGCTGGAGATGCCAAATGGTGTATGTCATTTAGCTATCAATTTAAATCACTGTATCTGGACAATTTATACATAAAACTCCATAAAGAATTGGCTTGGAAACTCATTAGATAACAGATCTTAGTATAAAAGGAGGTCTGAATGTGATTCTTGGATGAGTAGAGAGAAAAACAAGAAAGTGCATATTTTTCCTTTGCAAAGGGTACTGACAATACTTCAAGTGGGTTGCTGGATAATGCTCAGGTGTCCACATTTTCAAAAGAATATTGTAAAAAATATGAAGTTGTAGGAAAAAAAAGTTCCAAAAAGATTTTGAGAAAATTTGATTATAATTTCATATAATGCTTTCTATTAAAAAACTTGGAATACTTAATCCGTTATGCTTATCAAAAAGAAAATTAAGAAGTGTTCTGATTATGGCATGTATAACTTCACAGTGATAAAATACCAGGTACTAAAGAATGCTTTAATTTAGTGGAGAAAATCATAAGAAACAATAGTTGTAAGCTGCAGCTGACCAGAAAAATTTAAAAGAGAAACTAAAAATAATTCTCTTTTTAACAGAAGCAATTATTTCTGAATGAAATTCTAATTCAGCTCTCTGTTTGTCAGATGATGATTAAACTCCTTTCATAAAGGTTCAGTCAAACACAATCTTTCTGATTTGTTGCTGATGGTATTGGGTGAGAGTTTATGGTTTGTGTTATAACTTGGTGGTGTTTTGTTGCCTAGAATTCCATGAGCAGCTTATGTACCCACCAGAACTAAAAGCTTTGTATTCCACCCACTTTCTCTGATTACATGCTTTGTTACCAGTTCACAGGTAGAAAGCTGATGGATCTCTACACATTTGCAGAGCAGTTAGCCCAAATCCTGGAGATCCTCCCATTCACATAGTGAGTAACTGTAATTAAAATTTAAAATGCTTACAGCCTCAGTTTCAGTCAAGACTAACTTCCAAGGGTATTCTTTTGAGCTGACAACAACAGGAAGGCAGATATTAAGGTTATATGAGTTGAGGGAAAATTGGACAGAAGTGTTAAATTGTCAGTGTGGAATGTTCCTCAAATCTGGCACTCAGCTGGTACCTAAAATGGTTAAAATTGACACAAGTACAGTCAGAGTGTGGCTGCTATAGTGCTGGGAACCACTTGGTGTAGAGTAGATGCTGTCTGGACTCTTCTGGATTGAACAAGTATTACATGAAGTCTGCAATTAGGGCTGGATTCAGTAATTCAGTTGCTTCAAATCATATGGTCCTAAACCATCTGCTGCTGTGCAGGTATGCACCAGCAGGAGCTCTGATCCAAACCCTACAAACATGTTTGCGTGATCCAGCGTGTCTCCCATTGCTGAGGGTGCTCCCTGAATAATCTGACAAGAGATCAGGTTGGCATGAACATTGGTGTCAACAACAAATAAGGGCAAATATGTCCCAAATTTAGAGCCAGAAAGTTTAATAGCCATAGTACTTCATAAGACTGTTGAAAATGAGCCCCAGTTGCCAGGCTGCTTGTTTTACTTCTACCACTCCATGAGTCCTGTCAAAAAACTGGGAAAGAACATCCCAGTCAAACAAAAGCCTGGTACAAAGCCTGCCCAAATGTGAATCAATGCAGAGCCCTTAAGTTCCTGTGGTCTAACCCCACTTCTGGCAAATTTACCCCATGATGAATCATGACTAAAGTCACATCTCACAAGCCTGATTTTCGGAGCACAGCCTGCTTGCTCCTTTCTCACACCTTCAAATGCAGAGCTGGCCCATTTTGTACACAGCTGCCACAGTTTGATTTGTGTTGTGTTTATGCCTTAAGCTTTGCCTCTCTGTTTCCATGTCCACAGCCCCAGTCTATTTTATGTCATCCTATCTGGAATGCCTGGAAGATAACCATCCCCTTCAGTCGGTCACGCGTGAGGGCAGCAGGGCTGCAGTGACACAGAAGAACCACACTTCATTTCTCTGACTGGCCCTGGCTGGTGTTGTGGGATGATGGGGCGTCCTTGTGCTTGCCAGTCTGCCTATTCCCAGCCAGCACCCATCGGGCACAGCTGGGCCATGGATCCCGGGCACCGATCCCTGGCAGCTCTTGCACCGCCTCCTGCCCATCACCCGGGGAAGCTGCTGGTGCAGCAGGCCGGGAACAGCCAGGCTGACAGACACGGTGTGGCACCTGGCCTCGGCACCCTGCAGCTCCCAGCTCTTTCCACAGGCATTGCAGGTTTGGCTGCGAGCCTGGAGCTGTGGTGCACACTCTGTGTGGGAGCGTGGGAGTGACTCAGGAGCAGCAGTTCTGGAGTGGGTGATGCAGCGCTGGTGTGGAGTGATGCTATGGGGGCTGTGGTTTGGTTCCAGAGAGGGAGGGAGGGCAGGAAAGGGAGGGAGCACTAAGGTAACCACAGAAACATGGTATTCTTGGATATTAGCAATCCTGACCTACTTCTGGCTACTCACTCACTGCTGGTGACAAAAGAGGAGTAAGATGGAGGGCTTAAAGCTCTGAGAGAAAAAGAAGGAATCTTTCCATAATTTTCCAGGATCAAGACTATTCATTATAATATTCAGCTAATTAAAATCTTTAAGTTTTATCACCTTACACATCATACTGTTTTCATTCCTGCTTTATATACTATAGAAAGTATTTTCATAATACATTACTGATATATAATTGACAGAGATGTATTGTTATGTATATGATGTAGATCAGACTGACTGACGGGGGTGTCATTATGCATGTATAACCTAGTTGTTGCCAGTGGTGTTAATCTGACTCTGCATTTCATTTAGATCAGTGAGAAACCCTTTTCCACAGTTGCAGGTCTGCTGGTGATCCAGATACAGCTCTCCACTTACATCAGTAAAATCACACTGTTGTAATTGCAGGAAAACACAGGCCCTGGACTTCAGTGAGATATGGAGAATTTATACTAGTAAGTAACTGGGAACAACTGAGTCTGTCTATTTTATACCAGATTAAATGCCTATTTCAGACCAAGAAACAAATGACAGGGAAAATGACTGAGGAATTTGCAGTCATTCCTAAACTGTCAAGGGAAGGGCTTTTTGGATATACAAAACCAGATGGGAAGACAGGAGTGCTGTCTGATGTTGAGCTCCAAGTGTCCATTGCAAAGCATGGAAAATACATACTTTAAGGCTTCAGCTGAACCCCTTTAAAGCTTTCATTTCAGTGGACCATGGACCACTGTTTTGCAAAAAATCTGTACTTGGTATGTTAATAAAGAGTGAAACAGGTGTTTAGAGCCACAACTTTAGCTTCTAATCTTTTGTTTATTATTATTTTTGACAGTTCTGTAACAAAAAAAAATTCATAATGAATCAGGGCTTGTCAAGGTGTTTTTAATATTTTCTCAGCTGCAATTCCTTTCTGCATACACAATCTCAAACATTTTGACGATGCTGGCAAAATGAACCAAAAAGAGTCTGAAGGGGAATGGTAGCAAAAGTGGAACTTTCCAGCATTACTTTTTATTAACTGGTAAGTGAAAACCAGACTAGGTAGTGATGTTAACATAATGGTGCCTGAATTCTGTTCCAGTATTGGGTATATGCAGAGCTGCCTTCTCTACAAAATGAAATGTACAGGTATTTATATATCATCTGCAAAAGTTGCATCTCAACAGCATGGTACTGACTAAAGATATGGCTTGAAGAAATCCCATGTAGCCCTTCCCCAACATCAGGCCTGGTTCAAGTCCTGTTGTTAGTCCTCAGAGCTGTAAATTATGTGCTCAGATTCTACAATTCCCACTTTATTGGTGAAAAACTTGTATTAGATGGAGGTTAAATAATCTATCAAATGCCACTCAATGATTATTTTTGCAGGATTCAGTGAAAATTCATTAATTCCTTGTCTGCAGAGTGCAAGACCAAACTCTTGCCTTTTAGGCATTGGTCCAAATATTTTCACTATTTCTTTCATCTGTTCAAGAAGGATTCATAGCTGCTTTCTGCTGATAATTCAGGCATTGTCTCATGTAGAAGTGCTCTGATCAGACTTAGACTGTCTGTATTGAAATCTTGGCTCCACTGAGGTCAGAAAGAGTCTCACCATTGACATCAATGAGTTATGATAAATGGCACTAAATCTCTGCCTTGTCCACTCTCCATGGTAAAGCCTCACATACACAGCACTACCTGACAGTAAACACTGAGAGAATTTTTACTGGAAACAACAGCAAATTTGGAGCATGTACTGCACCCTGCCTCTGCCTGCCTCCCCTTATCCCCCAGTGTCAGCATGGACATCCTGGAAAGGGTGTTAGACAGGCAAATATGAAGGGGGGAGGAATGTGTTGGTGGGCTGTGGATAATGCTGAGCAAAATGCACAGTTTTGCAGTGCTGTCTAATGCCTATGTCCTCAGGGAAGTAGACTTTCTTATTTGAAAAGGGCTTGTGCAGCAGGTTCATGAAAGATTTCTCAGAAAAAGCCTGCCTCAACAACCTATTAGTAACACAGCCTTATGAAAAGCTCAGATATATTTCTAAAGATGTTGGCTTAGTTTATTGTGGTTGGACTGTGGGATCTGAGACCTTATTTTTTGAAAGGAGACTTTTTTTCCCTGCTGCATTCCAAATTTGCTGTTTTTCAATTAAAAATACATGACACTTTCTGGTCAGATTTCTGAATCAGCCCCTGCACCATACTAAAGTGTCTCTATTAATGGTCTCATTCATTGAATAGTATTCCCACAAGCCTGCAAATTTCCTTCTTCATTTAGGTAGTTACTTAGTCTTTCTTTACTCCAAAGTTGAACTTAAATGAAATATAATTTATGCAACAATCACTCAGAGCCTATTGTGTGTCAAACGAAAAAACCTGCCGTATTTTATCCTTTCCAGCTGACAAGTAGAAAGAAATATGTTGAAAGGGATATACCCAGTTATTAAGGGGGTCTTACAGTACTGTATTATTTTATTTTAGTGAAATGTCCTTGCAACTTGGATTTTTAAACTTAAAATATCCTGAAATATTAGATTGTGCTATGTGGACTTCATTCTTAACAACAGGCAAGGTAAATGGCTTGTGAGAAGAAGCTCCAAAAAAGAGGCTAATAAGCCTCTAAATAAGCCTCTGAATAGCCTCTAAAACTAATAAGAAATCCATGATGGAGTGGAAACCAGGAAACTGGCTCTTGCATACCACACACTGACTTAAGTAAAACATAGTAATACTAGATCCTCTAATTCTTACTCATCTTCTTGAAGTTGAAGATGCGCTTTGCTGTATGGGATTCACAGTGAACAGTGGCTTGAAAGACTGAGTAGTAGCTGGAGTCTGAGCTTACAGTTATCATCAAATACCCAAAGTTGTAAGGAACATTTGGGCAGCAGTAAAGCCTTATAAGCTATGAAATGCACAACAGAGGTCACGACGACCCAAGGATATTAAATATCCAATGCAGTTTTCTCAGTCTAGAAATTGGGTTTGGTGTACAGGTCACATTTCAAAGTGCTAATAATCTAATCTACCTATGGCAGTTTTACCCACCTCCACTGCTACATTCTGTCCCAACCCACAGCATGACATGCTCATCACTGACAGAAAAACTCCTGCTCTTCATCATAGAAGTTATAGTCCCACCGTGGGCAGAGATACTAATGTGCAGGCAATGTGACATGGAAATATTTGTGGGGAACATAAACATATAAATACAACCTTTTATTTGAAGAAGGTGTGGTCTTCAGGGTCTTGACCCCATCCATGAGCCCCCAAGGGTGGGAAGTTCTGAGATGGAGCAGTACCAAGGACTGACAAGTTTGTACATGTGTGCATTGGCAGCAGCCATTTCTTCCTGGTGTCTCCATGGGAAAACTTGGGAAAAAAAACCCTATATTTGCAGCTTTTGGCCAATGACAAGACTAGTGGGAACACTGGGTATCCCACTAGGAAAAATCCAACAATAACATGAATAATGTAATCCTTATGAATCCAGGTGTCTGCCAGTCTTTCAGAAGCAGTGGAAAGGACATAATACATCCTGCAGCTAACATAGCAACTTCAAAGAGCGTGGGCAGCGTACACACAGTGCCACTAAGTGACATAAATACTTCTCTTAGCACTCCATGCTAGGCTCCCTGTTGATACAAGCTGTTCTTGAGAGATCCAGGCTCAACCTATCCACAGACAGAAGGAACACAAAAGGTTAGGATGTTTTAGATAGAAGGTATACGAGGTCTATAAGCTCCCAGTTACTAATTATCCCATACTTCTTGAAGGTACCATTTTCTTTAGTGAGCCAATTTCTGTATTTTAACTGACATAGTTACCCACCAGGACAGCTTACTTTGGGAATGATAGGGTTTATCCTCACCAAAACAATGCAAAATTTTGTACAATCCTTTTGTGCCATATTCCCACCTCCACTACACAAGGAGAGTACACACATTAGCACTGAGCCCAGCACCACATCTCACCACACTGAGAAGTGCACACCATGAAGGAGGAAGAGCACTGTGCCTGAATAATACCCCTTAGCAGGGCTACCCATCAGTCAAAAGGCCTTAGAGCCAAACACAGATCCCAGGCAGGACCTAATTAAAAAAAAAAAAAAAAAAAAAAAAAGATATTATAGAACTGCCAGCAAAAGGATCAAAGTCATAGTGGAAATCCTGCAGTCAGAGGATCTGGCTACACATGGCTCCATGCTGGCCTGGGGAGACAACTTCTTGCCTCAGAGCAGCTCAGCAAAGCAGAGGCTGTTTCTGCCATTTATAACAGTGCTCAATGACAACACTACAGCAATGCATTATGCAAGCAGGATGAGTAAGAATGCTGCCTGGCACAGGCATTTGGAGTGTCCATGATTGCCCCCCTGCAGCAGGATACAGATTTTGTTGCCTAGAAATGGAAACCACCCCAAAGGACTGGCTGGGTAGAATGAGCCAATAAGTGGTTGATGATTGTTGGATATTGCCTCCTCTTCCTAAAATTTCCTAGCTTTGAAATACCATGTTTGTGAGGAAAGTATCTTACCTTTTCCTTCAGTATGTCCTTAGTACAATGACAAACGCAGTACATCTGGCCTAGACCACCTGATTATTTCTAAAATAGAAAGATGAAGGGTTAGCATTCAAAATGACCATTATTGTGCTGTTGATCTCAGCAGATGGGTGAATTTGAATAGGAAGGAACATTACAACAACACATAATATAAGCATAAAAGCTTAGCTTCCAGAAGCTCCTAGAAGCTGCATAGGTCTCATTTTCCTTTGGACAGCTCTTATTTATTCTAAAACAGATTTTGTGGAAAGTTAGTTGTTGGAATCTACATCTGCTTTACCTGCTTTCATTACTGGTGACAGAGAACAGCAACTGGAGGCATTTGTAGATTATTGCATTTTGTAAGTATGATTTTGCACAGTTTAGGAGTCTATATGCTTTTTTGCAAAAATTGCACATTGATTAAAACATTAACTTGGATGCTCAAAATGCTCCTGGCCAGCTGTGAAACTGGGTGACCTTGGATATGTTACTTAACCACTATATATTACTAAAAGACATGTTTCCCTTATAAGGTTTTGTTAGAATAAGAATATGAAAGATTGCAAACTACTCAATGTGGTGCAGTGGACAATATACACTTAAGACAGATATTTTTGTATTGATGAAGCATAGGTCTTGGGTGGCTTTGTTTGGTTTGCTTAATCATACAAACTCTGAAGTAATCAGGGAGCTGATTAAAAGTGTTCTGCATAACTTTGTTGAGAATACAGCAAGCTGTCCTAACTAGAGTTGTTTTGGAGAGTATCTTGGCAGAAAAGGGCCTTGCAGAACCAGACAACTTCTGTATGGCAGCTGGATCTCATAGTGTCTATTCATTGCTTTTATGTATTTCTGCATTTCTGGTTCCTTCCCTGCCAGGATTTTTAAAAGTGACTTTGCAGCTTGGAAGCTTCAATTTCTAGGGAGCTCTGAGGTTCCTCCTCAGTGCCCAGATGTTCCTGTCACAGGCTGCATGTCAGAAACAGGCTCAGAGTTCAGTCTCTTTTCTCCCTAGAGCTGCAGATGTGCAAGTCAGGAACTGTGCAAGGCTGCTCCACATTTCTGTGTGTTGCTCTTTGTATGCTTCCACCTGGGAGAAGCTCTAGTGAGCCTGGGAATAAATGTGTATATATATATTTACATATGTATAGAGTGCTAGTTTACATAAAAATATGTGTTCTGCATTTTTGCAGTCCTGTAACATGTTAGAGAAGGACTGACAGCAGTCAGACCAATTAATCTTGGTAAATGTGTTCAGTTCATCCCTGGGTACTGGAGGTCTTAAAATAGTGACCGATATGTCCATGTGACCATGTGGCCACCAGCCTGATAAACTGGATGGTTTCACTTATGAACAGAACAACACAGACAGAAATAGTAGATAAGTAATGAGATCCCCTTTGATTCTGGGAATAAAGATTTTCACTCTCCAGCAGAGCTGGTGCTAGCCAGTACCCTGATTCTGGGATTTGCCCCATTCAAAGCTCAGTTCCCACAGGGGAAGCCATAGGAATATATATTGAAAGGTTATGGAAAAATCTGCTAATAGTGGAGGTTTCTTCTGTGTTTAACATTAAGCCTAGATAAAAACATGGGGGAAAATTGCCCTTTAAAACATTTTCAGTCTTGTCTAGTAAAATCATGGATATTTTTGTCATTAATATCAGAATGTAATTCATCTTCTCTCTCCTTTCAGGATGGAATTCTACTTCTGGCATTACTGTTAATGCTGCTGCCTGTCCTTCAGAAAACGTGGGGCATCGCCCTCTGTTCAACTGCTCAGTCTTGCCATGTCGTGCTCTTTTCTTTCCACCCTAAGAAACTAAAGCACAAAGCTTGACTGCATGACTGCTTGCTGCAGGGAAGGAAGACTACTCATGGCATGGGAATGGGACCAGGAGTGGCAAAATTTAGAAGGGAATTGAAGCAGTGACAAAGACACAGGCCCAGGCTCCTGGTCCTTTCCCATCCCATGTGTACACCCCGGCCCTGAGCTACCAGGGCAGGAGCAGCCTGCAGCATGTCCTGCCCTGCCAGGGCTTCTCTCTCACACACATGCCAGTCTCTTGAGCATTTGGCCACCTCCCCAGCACTGAGGGAGCTGATGCTGCTGTACCTTACAGGGTAAAGAAACCAACAGACAGAGATCCAATGAGACAGATATTCTCAGATTAAGTCCTCATCTAGTCCTGTTTTTTACTGTGGTTTATTAGTTTTGTATTGAATTCTTGTTCTGTAAGGAAGAGTCTTTCCTGGAAGTTAAGTAAATGAACAAAGGTCAAACTGGACTCCCTTTGGCTACTGCTATTGCTAATGCAATGCAGGAAGACTCACAGCACTCACTTCCTCACAGCAGTACCCTTGGACTATGTTTCATACCAACCCAGATCTGAGGCTCATGTAACCAGGCCTAAATAATCTTCTCTCCAGATAAGGAAACAAGTGAAAAACAGACAATCTGTATAATGATAAATTCAATATGAAAATATAATATACTATAAAAGCACATCTATAAATGTTTCCTCTTTTTATTCTTCCCCCCGTCTTTTATACCAAGCTGTGTTGAAATTGGTCTTCTTTTAAATATTTTTAGAAATATTGAAATAACTGATGCATTGCAATACCAATAGAGGCCTCACCATGATGCCCTTAGGCATTGCTTTGCTATTTCAGGCTCTGAAACAGTGCAGTTTGATAGAGTGAGAAGATCAGAAAGCTTTGTCTTTGTCCTGACTTGATGTCTGAGTCCTCTAGGATCTGTTTAAATGCCCTGGCACTTTTGCTTAGTTCTTTTGAGCATTATTCCAGTGCTATAAGAGAAGCAGAGACCATGAGCTGGGACCATGCTTCATCTCCAGAGGCAAAGAACCTTTAGGGTAATCATTTCATTGCCTAGGGATTTGGGGGAAGCTGAAGGCATCATTGTGCCTTAGGATTTCAAGCTGTATCAGGAACCAGAAAAGCTACTGGCATACATCAGAGTAGCTTCCACAGCCTAAATCAGCCCACAGCCTCCAGAGCAGCACATGCTACATAATATTTTCTGCTCTTAGTGCTTTGTCTTTTATCCCTGCCATCTTTTCTAGACCTCATAAGGAATCAGGATTGCAAGCACAGCAGGGATTGTTCTTGTCTCTTAGTTACTCAGCTCTGGCCCACATATGCCTTTAGAAATGTACACCACAACTAGACTGAGGGCAGATTCTGTCCCTGTTCAGCTGGATTTCCAATTATTTTCAAATCAATAATACAAACTCACTATAAAAAAAATCTAGAGGAATTTCATGTAATATGAATAATTATTTACAGCAATAATTGAGCAATTGTTATGCTGTGCAAGTGGCTGCACATCTGTTCCTATCTTTAGGTATTCAAACCAACTTTAGAAATAAAAATATATAACAAATAGGTAATGAATATCATAAAAATTCACAAGCATAGTCATTCAGATTTTAAATTAATTCCCAAAAATTCTGTTCATTCCCACCATCAATGAATATTCAAGAAAAGGGTTCATGGACAAAAATGTTCACAAAAATAGCTTGCTTTAATTAAGTGATGCAGCATATTCACAGAAGTGAATTTCCTATTTGTAGCTGTCAAACCCACATCAGAAACATTTCTTTAATAATTTTATTTAGTCTAGCAGGATAGAAAGACCATCCACTGGACCTCTGTGTCCCACCAAAGTGCTTGAGCTTTCTACATGGAAGAACAAGGTTCCTGTCTAATCATTTTCTCTTTGAAATTCTGCTTGATGCTGTTGCATATCCACAAGAACCTAAGGTTTTTCTATAATCTCATCCTCTGTGCTCTTGCCCAATGTTTGTCATCAAAGCCACCTTGTTGAGTAAAATGATTTAAGCAGCTGCAACAATTGCCCAAAGCAGTGGCTAAGGGCAAAACATTACTAAGTATTTGATTTCTGTGAGCAAGTGTATACACTATACACAGAAAAACTCAAATTAATGGTTACCTATGGCAGAAAGCCAGGACCATGCAGAAGCTGTTTGTGCAAGAAACTAAGAAAACTGATTTTTTATTAAAATGTGCTGTGATGGTGCATTTTGTGGATATCTTTTGTAACCAAAGAGGGATCTGTAAAACTCAGTTTCCACGGACAACACACAACCAAAAGGCATGATAGTTCTTGTCAGAAAACACAGGTAGGTGTTAAAAATCTGATATTAGGTGATACATTAAAAAAAAAAAAAAAAAGAAGATGACAAAAGATGACAGAGGAGTTAAGACATGAGAGCCTGGAGTGGGAGGTCAGTAGCCATGGCTATGGAGTCTGTCTGGAGGGGCTGTCTGCCCTGCGGGCTGAGCTATTGCCTGGGCTGAAACAGCAAATGGAGGAAGAAGGAAAAGCATTTTCTGATCTAGCTAATAAAGCTTGCCAAGTCTGGACCTGCCCAGGGTGACAGAATGGTGTGGCATGCTGGCACAGTGCAGGGCACCAGAACCACAACAGCCACTACACATATGCCCAATACGTGCTTGAGGAAAGTGTAATAAAAACATTTGATTATTAGTAATAAATTATTCTCTATATAATCACATATTTCTGGGTCAGTCTTAAGGAAAATGCTACTGAACCTGTGTCAGATTAACGTATGGACACTTAAAATTTATTTAAATTCTTAGCTTTTCTTCTTCTCCAAAACCATCTTCCAGAGATTACTTACAAAGATGGAGCAGGAGGCAAGAAAAAAATGTAGCTGAATAGTTATGATAACAGGCTGCCTGAATGAGCTGGAGACAATATAAGTTAAAATGGATTTTAATACTGGTAATATTGCTCTACCTCAAGAAACCTCTGAGGCAGACAAGTTACTCATATCCAGATGCTGAAACATGCCAAGATTAACTCTGTGTCTCATGTATATAAAAAATTGCAGATTTGTGGGATGAATTACTTTATTTTTTGGCTGAAGAGGAATAACTTGTGAGCATGAACAACTGCTCAGAAATTCAGAAGAAAAGCATCATGTGAGTCTAATCTCAAAAACGGCACTGGGTGTTGCAAGCCATTAGTTCAGAGACATAAAACAGCTAAACACAGAAAACAAACTGAGGCAAACTCAAACCTTTTCTGTCCAGCAAGAAAAGGTATTTATGGCTGAAAATGTCTTTAGAAAGTCTGCTCAGGAGGGAGCTGCTCTAGGACTTCTGTCTGTAGGGTAAGGGGAAGAGTCCTAAAGGTTCATCTGCCATAACAAGCTTGGTAGTAATTTATCATTGCTTCCCCAAAGGATAACACTGAATGTAACAATTAACCCGACTCTAAGCAGCATTTCTCTCCTAATAAATGAAAGGGGTGGAGAACAGCTTGTCAGAGTGTTTGCTTTCTTCATTGTTGACAACACACACTTCCAATGGGTACATCTAGGGAGAGACAGTACAAGATTGCACTAACTGCAAGCAGCTGGGAGGAGAGAAGAAAAAACAATTCCTTGATGGAAAGCTGGGAACATTTATAGCCAATTGGTATTTTTGAATGGAGCTAAGAGTACAGTTTTCCTGCCTTTTGGCCTATAAATAAATCACCAGAAATAGATTCAAGTGCTGGTGCAACTTTGCAGTCTGTTTTTGTACCTCTCAGCAGGATAACCTGCTAGAGGATATGGAGGACTAGCACTGTCCTGTATTTTGTTTTGAAGCAGAAAGTCTCAATGGGTTGCTCAGAAAACAAGTTTAGACTGAGTAAACTGATATATAAAATATGAAAGTCTCATAGGTCTCAAAGACCAAATTCAAATATTTGGAATTCACTTGACAGCATGCAAACTTCCAGACTGAAAAACTGCAGAAGTTGCTGCCATCGATTGTTCCTGCCCAGCTCCATGGAGGAACTTTACTTTCTTAGGATGTTCTCAGCTCTTTCTGAAAATCAGACATTATTGATGTGCTACTAATTTTGTTTGTGTTCCTCCAAACTCTGTCTCGGGTTCTGCCTGCCCAAAGTACCCCAGCAGCCATTATTTGAGAGTCACGTGAGGATGAAGCCTTTTATTTTGCTTTGATACAGTGCTGCAAGTTAAATAAAATTTACTGATTCAGCTTACTCAAGTATCTCTACAGAGAAGCTGCCATGCTCTTGACAACGCATCAGTGTTGAAGCTGAATGAATGCTAGATGAAAAATGCTCTTCATTTTTCTGCTTGAATTTATGTAGCTTTCATGGGGATTTTTCTTACGCTCACTGCTGTTCTTGGTCACACTCTGTGTCAGCAAAAGGAAACAAGGTTTGCCCTTGTTACTGCTGAATTCAGATGACTTTCTTTTGGCCCGGGTCCTGGTTATGAGGGCCCTGCAGCAGAGGAGAGGAAGGAGAAGGGGTGTGAAACTTCAGTATCACCAGCTTTGCTTGTTTGTGCCCAGAAGGCAGCACAGACTGAAGCCACTGCAGCAGGTCACTGTGCCAATCCAGCTGTGTTGCCACATGAGCTGTGGATGTTGGAATACGGTAAGGCCACAGTGATGGTTCTTCCGTCCCCAGAGGTTGCTTTAAATCACCTGTAGTCAATTCTACAAGTGGGGCCTTATTTGAAAGAAAAACAAATGTGTTTTTCCCTTGTTGGACCTGCTGGACTGGCCTGCTTGCACAATCCCTTTCCAGCAAATCCCTTTCACAACAGTTCCTCCCTTTAAACATAGATTCTTTTCATTGTGGCATCTGAAAGGAAACAGTTACCTGTTTCCTTTCAGAAAGGAAAGGAAAGTGGGATGACAGCCTTACAGTGAAATCTGTTTGAGAGTCTGCTTTTGCAATAAACCAACAAAATCAAGTAGATTTCTGATACTTTTTTCATTGGTCTGTATTATTCTAACTACTGTTATTTTATCAATGCTTCTCAATATTGCATGGAGGAAGGTAGGAATCCTGTTTATACAAGCAAAGACTTTTAACAGATATAACTGATTGTTTTTGTAGCTTAGACAAATGTGGACTTTTATTGGGATGCAAAGGATTACCCTCAACATCCAAAGGTGTCAGCAGGCAAGTATAATCTGCAACTGCTCTCGTGTCTTTTGCCTTGATTAGAAAGAGAAGGATTGAAACCTGACCTCTGGTTATTAAATGGCCCTTGGGTGTCATCACCGATACCCAAATAAAAGTGGTTTCCTACAAAGAGCATAAGGCAAAAAGCCTAACCACAGCACACAAAGGGAGAGATCTGAACAGTGGGGCAGTTTGTTCTGAGTGTGGCCTCCAACGAGAGCCCAGGTTGGAATCTGTGATTTTTCAGAAGAATCAGGATATTAGTAAAGATGGTAAATGTGCTTGAATAAGAGATTCCCAGTGATGACCTGATGTGTTTTTAACATCATGTAGCCATGGGCTACTAATCTGACTGCAGCCTGTATGGAATTGCATCATGTGTGCTGGTCAGGAGACAAGTTTAAATAGCTCTAATAATCTCATTGTCCTTAAGGAATGTTATGATTCCTTCTAAGTGTGGTTTCTGTGATGAGCCTTGTGTAAGTCATGGCAGCCAAATGAGTGCCCAGCTGCATGCCAGCGTTGTTCTTCTGCCTGAGAAGTAGCCAGCAGCCATTACCAGACAGTTCCCTGCCTTTAAATATTCTATTTTGGCTTTTTTGTTCTCTCATGAAAATAGTTGAAACACGATGGACTGAGGTACAAACCAGGAAATAGATACTATTCACTGAAGCTGTTGTGGTTTGGCTGTTGTTAAGATGTGATAAACAGTATTAAACTTTTTTCTAATGCCAAGAATTTGGATCTATCATTTTGAAGTTTCAGGATTCTTTTAAGAAAAGATACAAGCAACCCTCAGGTTAAGGAAAAATATCTCTCTGTATACATTTGGTATTTACATCACAGATACCTTGGTGAAATATGGTTGTCAGTGGTGCTTGTTTAGGTTTAATTGTATTTTACATCCAAAACAAAAGGTGCAAAAACCTCTTGCTATGAAAGAGTTACTCAGACTCTGTGCATCCTGGACTTCTCTGTTTGAGAAAGACTTAATGGACTTAAATTTACAATGAAATGAATATGGACTTCATGAAATGAAATATACATTGTAAATATACAACGAAAAAAAGTCCTCCAAAGAGGACTCCATTTTCCATTTTCAAACAAATGGAAATACATCTGTAAAGTGGCAGTGGCAGGGGATGATTAGGACTTGCTGAAGCCAAAATCTGATTTGTGAGACCAAATCTTCTCTGATAGCAAGACAAAGATGAAATATTTAAAACTTAGGTTTCCTAAGATTACTAAAATGTCAGTTCTTATCTTTCTACCCAGCTCGAGAAAGAAATTGAAAGTTAATTTTGTTGCCAAAAGACAGTTTATAAGACATCGTTTTCAGAAATGGCTGAAGCATTTGATCAGCAAATCATTTTCTGATTCTTGAGCCTTCTGCTGTATCTAGACTTCTAAGAGGATGATCTTTTCATGTATAATGGCAAAACCATCCATGAGGTTCTTTGGAATTAAATATTGCTGAATTTCTTTTTTCAAGACAAAGATTCAGCTTTCATAATTATAGAGGGGAAAATGGAAAAAAAGAAAAGGCTGAAAGCTGAAGTCTCAGAACCCAGGAAATAACAAAAATACTGGTTTTTTTTGTTTAATTTAATGGATTTAGGTGAATTGTGAGCCTAATTCATGATTAGTTCCTCTCTCCCCTTTGAAGTTAACTTTTTTCCTTCATATGTTATCAGAGTGGTGTTTCCACCACTCTGATGGGCCCAGCCCCGGCTGGTAGTGGGCCTGTGCTGGAGCTGCCAATGGCTCTGTTGGATGTGGGGAAGCTGCAGCACCTCCTCTCAGAGCTTCCCCTGTAGCTCTGATTGCTACCCAAACCTGGCCATGCAAACCCAATAAAATATAGCTCAAGGAACTGAATGTTGATCAGAAAATTATTGTGATGATTTTGGTGCCCTTTGCACTTTTGCAAACCATACTTTTGTATCTTTTTCTAAGGAATATCGTAATGGCTGGGAGCAATATAGCTAAAGTTTTGGTGGGAGGTTAAAAATTCTGGCATCAGTGAAATTTAACGAGTGCCATTACTCCAGCCCCCTAATCAACCTCCAGTAGGTTTTGATTTTGCTATTATAGGATGCATTAGGCAAGCTGACAAACTTAGATATCAGCTGGATTTCCTAACTAAAAGAAGGTTGAGACAGGTAGGTGTCTGTCTTTTATTCACCTTGTCTAGCTTTTTAATCCACTCTAACTGAAGTCAGTATGACATGGCTGACATAGAATTTAAATATAATGAATTCTTTATGTGATTTGTCATACAAGTAGCGGGGAGAGACAATGGTAATGTCTCTACTCAGAAGAAGGAATGCATTGTGAAATCCCCAATTTATACACCAGAGAATTAACACAGGAAAAAGCAACCATGAATTTCCTGCAACTGGAGCCAGCTTTGCTCAGAATTTGTGCCTATGAGGCAGGACTTACATCAACCATAAGGCACAAATCCCTAGGAAATTATTTCTTTAGTTTTTGTTTTCTAGAATTTCTCTTAGTTTTGAGTAGTAAATCAAAGACCACAGTAGTGTTCTCCTCTAACTAAGGAGTTGTTCCACATAATGTTTGCAGAGTTGTGCTTGAGGAGAGAGTAATTGCTGGTGTAAATAGAGCATGATGTTCCACTGGCAAGAACCCCAGGGGAGATGAGAGCTTGGTCTGCAGGGGTGTCAGGACCATGTTGAAGGACCTTGCCAAAAAGAGACTGGAGAGTATGGAGAAGGAGAGGCATAAAATTGAGGTAGTCACTTTAATGAAATAAGGAATAAATACAGAGGCCCAAGGAAAGAAACAAATATTCTGCCCAGCGACAGAGTTAATGAAATCCTTTCAATCCATGTTCTGCAGCTGAATTCCCTCGTACCAAATTTTCCAGTACAACCTGATAACCAACATTTTTTCCAGCAGCTGGGAATGCACAGCATCTCTTTCCTGGGTGGATTCACAGTGTCTGAGCAAGGGCTGAGCTAGTTTCAGCACTCCTCTGTGGGAAAACTAACAAGGTTTAGAAGGGGATTGATAGGAACAGGTAGTGCACTGGTGTTGGTTTTCTTTGAGCATTTAATTTCTATTGAGTCACTGGATGGCTTGGACATTTTTCTGCAGACCACAATTTAAGTTATACAGACTTTCTTTACAATGGTGCCTAAGGTAGCTGTGAGAATGCATTTTCTCACTTTACCACTCATTTTGCCCACTAATACCAGATCATACACACAGAGACATAATCGCACAAGAAAGAAATATCTAAATTTTAAAAAAGCTATTTATACCTAGTCACACTGAGTTTCAAACTTATGCAGTTACA